TGCAACGGAAGCTAACGATCCCCAGGCGTTCTCGTTATGAGCGATGTTAATTGGGACAGTGACACGTTTAATCAATTTATCAGTTGATAAATCGAAGATCAGTAATTGCGGAAGGCATCGTTGATCTTCTCCAATTCTACCATCATCCACAACAAAGAGATGATTGCACCGAATCTGAGAGAATAAAAAGCTACAAGTATCTTAGTTTTGTTGTTGTTATTAGACAAAGCATTATTGTTACATAAGGGATATAATATCTAACGTACTTGTTGATTGTTGAAACATAATAATGAAAATAATTATGCCATAAATAGTATACTCACCTCTATTTGATAAACACCACCCGTAATTCCCTTGCAGTCATCTTTATACCAAGACCAATCTGGATACGGACGCAAAAGTGGACCACCCTTTCCCTGTTCCTCAGTTACCGTGAACAAACTAACTGGTACACCTTTGTCTCTTATCGCAGTAATGAATATTCTACCATCTATAAAATATTATTTAAAAACGCAGTTTTCATTATTATATGATTTAGTATAAATATTTCACATTTCATTACAGTGACAGTACAATTTGTGTACCGACATCGAGGTTATATAATAAAACTTATAGAGGCATTCAATAAAACATAGTAAATTTTTGTTAAAAAAATATTTATACTTTTATAAAAATCACTGTTAAATCTTTGAAATCAATTTACCTGATGCCTCCATCGTATGTCTACATCGTATAGGAAAGCCGCGCTAGCATTGTATCTACCGGAAGCTATCGTTTCTTCTTTTTTCTGTGGACTATTCCAGAGAAGATCGAGGTATTTCCATTGCATTTTGAGAAGTAACTCGTCATAGCTTATAGTTGTTAACGATAGGATTGATGTAACGAACAGAAAATGCTTCATTTTTGCGTATCATATAATCAATTATATAATTATATAATATAGAATAGTGTTATATTATAATATAGTGTAATAAACTATGGATATATTGTCTCGTGAGAACATGAATGGATAAATGAGACTAATGGTTGGTATTTATAGTATATTCGCGATATTAAAAAATTTAGGATAATATTCTTATTATACGTAAACGATAAACAATTGCAACTCAATAAGAATCTATTTGTTATTGATAATCACATTTTTTTGCATAAGAGATACATACGAGTTATAATGTATTTATAATGTATTTATATAAAGGCATTATTTTATATAAGTAGTTTTTGATAATTAAAAATGCAATTAGCTAATATGAATATGATATAATTATTGTATTATAGTCAATATAGACGTTTATATTAAAATTAAAAAAAAATTTTCAACTAACTAATCAAACAAACAATAAGGTGACAATGTGGAATTAATCTTTTTCCATTAATAGAAAAAAATGCAACGCTATTTATATAACTGTAAATTAATAGAAAAAAATTTTTCTTTTCATTTCTGTACATACGCAAAATTATTAAAGTCCGATTAACTTGAAATCACATTTCTTCGAGACATTCGGATAATGATATTTTGCACGAAGTGATCTTTGTACCCATTTTTTTTGACATTACACATTACTACTTAAATACGTATTAACATACTATGCAACAAAGTAGGTTGAGGTCGTAAGCTTAAATGATAAAATTGAATTCGATGAATGATGGAAATGTGATAATCGCTGTTTTTCGCAATTTGTAAGTACATAATATAAGTGTACGAAGCATGTCTTTTCAAAAATAAATATATAATAAAGAACATATAGTAAAAGTTATATATTATTTTGATATATAACTTTAATAAAAACTCTTTTTTCACAAATCACAAAATTATATGTCATTACAAAAAATAATTATAATTTGAATAATTATAATTATAAAGATACTTAGATAATTTAATTAATAATTAATACTTATGTCTCATAAATTATTTTAATGTTATACATATTATATCCAAAATAAGTTAAGACTATATTATTAATAACAATAATTTCATTATTTTCATTTTCAAATCTCAATGGTGTGACAATCGTAAATGTAAACGAGATTTATTCAGTATTATTATAAGGAATTGTGAATGTATCATATGTTATCGCAATTTACGTCTCTTTTCACGATCCAGTCATTGTCCTGTATATCCTAATCAGCATTACTAATATGACTTTGCATAAATAAACAGAATTAATTTTTATGTGATTATTAAAAATTGTCAATCTTATTATATAATTCGAAAAAAGTGATTAGAATAATTGTATATATTTGATTTTAATATGTTTCTTATTTTAAAAGATCATCATCTTTGAACAAAATAATATGTAAATTGCTGACGCATAATTATATCTATTATTTGTTAATTTATTAATAATTAAATGGATATGATGTAAAAACAAAAATTTTTTCATGTATGAAATATTTATATAGCAATGAAAAAAATAAAGTTGAAATGTTGAAAGTGACAAAAATAAAAAGCTTAAAAATAATTAAGGGAAAAGATGGGCACATGAATCAATAAAATCAAATATATACAATTATTCTAATCACTTTTTTT